AAAAAAAAAAAAACAAGAATTTCTCGCCTTCGTGTATCTTTCTCGTCGAACAACACTGTGGCGGTCCGCGGTCCGCGCGTTCCTCTGTTTCTTGGTCCAACTCCCACGATCAATCTGCAACACTTCCTTCAAACCATGGAGTTACGTCGAATCGACCATACTCGATATTCATGAAATCCAGCTTGGACGTCACATTTTCAATGAATATTAAAAACGCATCGATTAATACTTGCTACGGTGCAACGGTCACGTATACTCACTCAAATCGAACATGCAGCAGCATTCTACATTATACAGCGTGAAGCGATCTTTCGAAATTCCTAAAATTTGTTTATTTCGTTGACGTTTGAATTTTATTTGCCCCCGATTGACCAATCAGATCTACGTTTTTTAATACGAATGAAGTTTGGCGCGCAATCGCACTAATCACCGGTACGGTAAAGAGTATGAATTGTAAATACAATTATCCGCATCTTTCGTTCCTACGTCAAAAGATCCGATGAAACTTTTAGAAGAATATCAGGAGCTTGTCGTGCGCGATGCGATGGAGATCTCTTGCCTATGGAAATACGTACAAATGTTCCTCTATTTGCTATGCGCAATTAGCGGATACGCGTCCAGCGTTTTATTCTACACATTATGGGTATAGTTAATAACGATTCTTATTGACATTTTAGAACGATGTAAATTCAATGTATCGTATGAAACACAAAGAAACAGATTTTCGGAGGCAATTGCCCACTGTGGGCGAAAGTTGTTCTACTAAAAGAAGAAATAGAGTTGGAAAATATCGACGACATATGCAACAATTTAGACTGGTGGAAATATATTTTTATCAATTATCAGCATGAAAATATATGTGCCGTTTATTTAATAATGTGCTTCTTATCTTGCACATTTGGAACTGTTTGGTTTACTCTGTTCTTTATATGTGGCAAAGGTGGACATGATGCATCAATGCAAGTCAATTTTCTTTTTTTTTTTATCAGACGAACGTTAATTTAAATACGATTATATGTACATAGATACGAAGAATTATATTTGTATATACAGATATCCAGATCCTTGGAGAATTGTACTTCCTGCAATGTACTTTAACTTTGCATTTACAACTATATCCATGTATGTGGATTACAATTTCCAACAAGGATATAAAGCATTTAGCAAAAATATAAGAAACGTTTCTTCTGAAATGTATAATATATGCGAAAAAGTTGTGGATGTAAGGTATCAATGTTAAATTTTACTTTAGATTTTACTCTAGATAATTCTTACAAATAGCTCATTTACAGTGATTGCGAGATTATAAAGATATGCATGAAAATACATAACTTTTACATGCGCGATCTTGATTATTTGTGTAATATAATTTCATACCTACAGGTAATATTCTTCACCCTTTTTTTGTACTTTTTGATAATACAAGAAATATCGAAATATAGTAACAAACATTCTTAAGGTTCCTTTAGTTCTAATGATATGCAGTTGGGCAGGAGGATTGGTAGTATTGCTTTTCAGAATAATTACGAGTAATGACTTTCGAATTTTAAAAATTCGAATTTATGAAACAAAAGACGAATAATTCTCAATGCACTGCTATAAAATGAACGTTTATTTCGTGGGAGTTTTACATATATCAGTATGAAAGTTTGTATGTAAATAAATGATAATAAAATGATAAAAAATATGTAATTGTTTGACGGTTTAATAAGTTTATTTATAATCAGTATGATTTCAATATGTAAATCAATATATATATCCTACATTATTAACAACTTCTTATAAAAGATTTTAAAAATACTACTTATACAATACTTTTGCAGTTATCTATATGTTTTCAATATCATGATTAACATACACAACAGTGTCCATTTAAAAATTGATCTAACATTGAAGGTTAATTAAAAATTTGCTATAATCTTAGTAACAAATTCTATGGTCATCTTAAAAATTTGAATCCCCTGATTACTTCCCTAGATTGATACCACTGATAAGGGACATGCACGATACTCACATTTGACTTACTTAAAAATTCGATATCCTTGCTCCTATTGGTATCAGATTCAGATACTTCGTTATAAACTTTCACTACGTTTATGCAGTTGCAATTCAGTCTTACTTGATCATTGTGTTGCAATTTAATTACAAAATAATTTGAACTCTGATTGGAAGGTATATACTGAGGTTTAGGCAAAAAAAACTCTGATACCAAATTATTATCACTTTTTTCTATCAGCACAAAGGTGTTCGTAGGGCTCAATGGCAATGACAATGCAGCTTGAAATTCAGGACATTGCAATATTGACCTACAAATCAAATGACACTTCAGTAAGAAATGATAATTATTATTCTTCATGAGTATTATTAAATCTTATTGCTAACTTCATCAAACTTAACAGGGGCTTTCTAGAAGCATGTTTGCATTCAAAGTGTTCCTGGCTGCTGAGAATATCGGATGGAAATTCGATTCTAATGTGTAATTTCGGCGATATTATTGTAGCGCCGATAAGTATAGCGATTTCTTTGATTTTGCAGTCTTTCTGGTGAAATTCTGAGTTTAACTGTTCCGAGGTGCTTTTTAACGAGCTTAGTAACGTTCTTATGGAAGACAAATTCCTGTCAGTTGGTTTCATTTTCAATTGAGACAGTGAATCGCATGTGAAGGGTATTTGCTGTTTCTGGTATAAAATATACTTTAGAAGCTCGATCACAAGTTTCACGCAACTGTTACTTGTCAAATGTTCATCCAACGCTACGGTTATATTCATTGTAGCCTCTTCTTAAGCAGAGTCCAAACATCAACTGATTCAGAAATACACTACTCAGTGTAATAAAATTGAAAAAAAAAAATATATTCTTACATGCTTATAAACACACTCTTCTCGTGTTTACAAAAAGAAAAAAAAATCCATGCAACAATAAAACTAGCAATTCTACGACCGCGCTGCCAATGGTGAATCTAGTGACTACTATGATCGAAAATTCGTTGAAAAGTGCTTATTTGTACCGAATATTATACATATTACTGCATATTGCTACATGAAAAGAAAAATAAATGAAATTTTAATTAAATAAAAAATAAATAAAATTTATTTATTTATTTTTAGTGATTTGTTGCAAGGATGTTCGACTTGGTTGCTCTTTGATTTTAAACTATCTTGCCATCTTCATGTTACTTAGTCTTGCATACAAATCACGAAAATGGCGGAGGTGAAGTCACGTCGCGTCGCGCAAACAGAGGATTTATCAAACGTCGAGTTCGAAACAAGTGAGGATGTGGAAGTTATTCCAACTTTCGACAACATGGGACTCAGAGATGAGTTGTTGCGCGGAATCTACGCTTACGGTACCGTCAAAATCTTATTTCTATGCATTACTTGAACATAACCTCATTTATATTATTTTGTGTGTCAGTTATTAGATAGCACATTGGTTCAATATTTTCCATAATTATTAACTGTGAAATGATACTTTAAAATTAGGTTTTGAAAAGCCGTCCGCGATTCAACAACGATCTATTAAGCCTATAATGAAAGGTCGGGATGTGATAGCACAAGCACAGTCTGGTACAGGAAAGACAGCAACATTTTCTATTGCTATACTGCAATCGTTGGATACGCAAGTTAGAGAGACACAAGTGTTGGTTTTATCACCTACGAGAGAATTGGCAACTCAAATACAGAAGGTTATTTTGGCTTTGGGGGATTTTATGAACGTTCAATGCCACGCTTGCATAGGTGGTACAAATCTTGGAGAGGATATCAGAAAGTTAGATTATGGACAACATGTCGTATCGGGCACACCTGGCAGAGTATTTGGTAATTTGATCATAAGAGAATATTATGCAAAATATTTTGCAAAATACTATTAATGAATTTCGTTACTTTCTCAACGTTTAGATATGATAAAGAGGAGAGTTCTCAGAACAAGAGCTATAAAAATGTTAGTCCTCGATGAATCTGATGAAATGTTAAACAAGGGCTTCAAGGAACAAATTTATGATGTATATAGATATTTGCCACCCGCAACACAGGTTGTGTTAGTATCTGCTACATTGCCACATGAGATCCTTGAAATGACTAGCAAATTTATGACGGACCCTATCCGTATTCTTGTAAAACGGTAAACACAATTTCTTCGAGATTGAGAGAAATTGTTTGTTTCATCCAAGTTAACATGTTATTATTTCCAGTGATGAATTGACACTAGAAGGAATAAAACAGTTCTTTGTTGCTGTTGAAAGAGAAGAATGGAAATTTGATACACTGTGCGATTTGTACGATACATTGACAATAACTCAAGCAGTTATCTTTTGTAATACCAAACGTAAAGTAGATTGGTTAACTGAGAAGATGAGAGAGGCTAATTTCACAGTTTGCTCCATGCATGGTGACATGCCACAGAAAGAAAGGGATAACATCATGAAAGAATTTCGATCTGGTCAAAGGTATGTTATTTTATTGTAAACAGTAATGTTGTAAATGAAACTTGTTATATTTTGGTTATTTTATTTCCCAGTCGTGTTTTAATTACAACTGATGTATGGGCAAGAGGAATAGATGTTCAGCAAGTATCCCTTGTGATCAACTACGATTTGCCCAATAATCGTGAATTGTACATTCACAGAATAGGAAGATCGGGAAGATTCGGAAGGAAAGGTGTTTCCATTAATTTCGTAAAAACCGATGACATAAGAATTCTTCGAGATATTGAACAATATTATTCGACACAAATTGATGAGATGCCGATGAATGTAGCAGACTTAATATAATTATATAATATAATTATGTTATATAATATAATATACATATTTTCATAATACGTTGAAAAATTAAATGTCTAGGTGAAAAAATCAAAATTCCTTCTATACTAGAAAACTTTAGACACAAAGTTTTCGAACAACTGTTTTCAACCAAAGAAATAAATTTTCTTTCATAAATTCTTAAGATCTAAGAATTATATAACATAACATAATGTAATATTATAAAAATATGTAATTATATATGTAATTATAAACAACAAAAAGTTACATAATTTTATAAACTTCTGATGAAAATATAAAATTAATATTACTTTGTACGTTCATTGTAATAGATAATATAAGATGTATAGAAAAGACACATTTTGGCTTAATTGCATGTATCTTTTTCCTTCCTTAATTTATAAATAAATTACGCGTAACACCAAGAGGGTTTAGTAAGAGGAGAAATAATCAATAACTAGTTCTCTAGTTCAGATGGCAGCAGAGCAGTATTTTGGTTGAAAATCTCGCAAAAATTAATTGAAATTTACTGTGTAGTTTTATTTGTTCAGTGCAAAGAAAAAAATCACTTGTTACAAACAAAAAAAACTTCTTTAAATATTATTTTCGTTTATATATTAGTAATTTACTCCTTTGTAGCTCGTTCAGTAACCCTCTTGGAGAAATGACAGAAATATACAAGAGAATATGATCAATGTTAATGTTAGGAAATGAAATTAAAAAATCTAAATAAAGATATAATTCCACACTTCAATTAGTTGAAAATTGAAAAGTATGGAAACTCAAGAAGACTGTGCAATTAGGCGAGGACAACCTATTCGTCATTACCAAAATGATTACAAATCTGATGGACATACTTCGACTTGTAAGCAATAACGTTTTCACATAAATATTTGATTCTATGTATATTTTCTTTATTATTACAATTATTTTTCCGTTTAGCAATGATAGTGAACCAATCCCAATATCTGAACATGGGCAGGTCTACTGTAAGAATAGCTGTGTATCTAATGACTGGAATCTTTTTAACAATGGACATTGAACACAGTTCTACCGCGCATCAAATCCTTGCAATGATACAATCTGAAGGAGAATTGGGATTGACAAGAACTCTCCCTTTATTCACTGGCCAAACGGTTTTTGCTCTGTGGCTTTGCTCTTCAAGATTGGAGGTTCAATTGCATCCGAATCACAAGCCTTTAGAGCTAGCTGCAAAGTGGAATCGCTTTGTAAAAAAATACAGTTCTCAGAGGGAAGAGACAGACGAGGAACCTTTGCTATGCCTTAGAAGAAACGTGTTTCTCTCCCGATCAGACGAGGAGCAAATAAAAGAAGCCAAAGTGTTAGAATTATTGTATGCAGAAGCCAGAAACAACGTGCTGCAAGGTAATTGATTATTTCAATCTTTTTTGGTCGCTGCATATAATACATCTCTTGATGTTCCAGGGCGTTATCCGTGCGAGGGACAGGCACGATATGCAAGTCTTGGAGCGTTGCAAGCACGCATTGAACTTGGCCCGTACAATCCTCAAAGTCACACACTCGCATTTTTCAGGAGGCATCGTGGCCGATTCTTGCCTCATCATTACACTTCTCCTAGTTTATTATTGGGACTTGGTGTTGGACTGGGACTGGTAGGGGGGAAAGGAGCACCAGAGGCTCGCCTGCTCGAACAGTACAAACGGATACCAAATCACACGGGAACTAATACGAATTCGCGGAAGCTTGTCAGAAAGTATTTAGAGTTTTGCTGGAGTTTACCGTGTTACGGTGCGGCCTTCTTTCAAGGCCAAATCGAACGTCCCGTGAGAGGCCTCGCATCATGGATTACAAACCGTGACATGCACGTACTCATTGCTATTAATTCGTCAGGTGTATATATCGTGGACGACGTCCAATGCGTAAGCAATCGAACATCGTACAATGATCGATAATTGCCGGAGTACCATGTTAAGAATAACTTTTCTACAGAGTTTGTTATTAGGTCTAAGGTATTCAGAGCTGAGCTGGGAAATGGCGAAACCTTCCGACGAAGGTAATCTGGATTGTCTGCCGTGTTTGTTTCTACAGTTCCCTGTGCGAGAGAACGGGGCACGAGTTTATAAAATTCTACAAGTATTCTCAAGACAAGTACGATTTCCGCTTGATCACGTTAATTTGAAACAGTTTTGTTAACTGTGTGAATTCACTTTAAGGCAATAATGATGGACACGTTGATTTCTGGCTTTGCCGAGGATCATCGTCGTCATGGAACTAATGGCGATGTGGCGAACACCGATCGTTTAACGGATCATACAATAGGTTCGAGCACCGGAAGTTTTACTAACAAACTTAGTAAATTTACATTAGCCACCTTTGACGACGAAGGTAGGCGTGTAAACTTTTCCATTAAAAATTGAAGATCTTTTTTAATACTAAAGCTGTTTTAGGTCGATGTATTGGACAAATGGGTTCTTGGTCCTTTCAGTGAAATGTCACCTTTAACGTTGTTTCACTTAGAGTCACCTCTGAGTGTCGCGAGATGCGGACTTTGTTGTAAGTGGTCCATTAACATTTTGTATCTTATAGGAACTAAATCTCTATGACGATTTAATCTGGTTTCCAACATTTGTAAGTGAAAGTTTATTTCATTTATTTTCTCCAATAGGTTTTCTTCTTCTTCGCGGGTTACGTCTCCTTCCTAAAATAAAAGGCAAAAATAAAAAAAAACATGATTTTCTACATTGCATTTTGTATCAAATAAATGTACAAAGCAACACATTTTGATGAAAGTTTATTGACCTGTGTTAGTAACGTTTGCGTTTTTATCAATTCTTGCGAATATCTGTCAAACTCACGCAAGATCTTATTCGCTCTTCGTACAAGCAACTGTTTGTAATCATTGAGACACGAATATTGTATAAAATATGCGTCAATATTCGATAGTTCCGATGGGTTTCCTAAACGAGCCAGATACGGTTTCAAATAATCTACATCTTCCGTGATATCTTCCTGACTCTTTGTTTTCTGTATTTAATATATCAATTATCGTATATAAAACGTACAATTATTTAGATAATAAAAATGCATCGTTATTATTTTCATACCACTAACGCTTCCGTCAGAAACTCTGGCTCCCTGAGTTTATCATATATGGATATTGATAATGTTGGCAACAAATATTCTTTCTCTCTTGTCTCGAGAAAAGCGTACATTTCTTTTTCTGCTGTTCTAATTTGAGATACAGATACATCTTCCTCCTTTAATTGTGCCTCTAGTTCGTACAATAAATTAAGAGATTTCTCAGATTCATCTAGAGGCTGCAAATAAAACAATATAATCTTCTAATCTTCTAATATTGAATGTTGATGAATTACTTACAGTATACCCATGCATCATGGATAGATTAAGAACCAATCGTTCACCCCTTTCTGCTAATGCTGGCTTTATGTACGTTCGCATAGCTCTTGTAAATTGCCCTGGATGATAATGATATGTAAGACGTATTTCATTCTCGTCAATAGCAAATTCACGAATTGCTATGTTTTTACTTGCTTTTATTCGTTCGTCTCTATTAAATTTCTCGACGATGTTCTGCAAATTTAATCACATACTTTAAATTAATTGATTTTCGCGCGACGTTTCACAGATCACAGATTATTGAATTCTACTTTACCGATATGTGTCGATAATGGATATCATGCGGAGCGGAGCTCTTTCGTTCTCGCGAAAATTGTACGTGTCTGTTCACAAGTCGATCGAAACTCTTGTTGTAATATCGTGTAATCGTCATTTTTAATCGTTTATAATTTAATTATGAAATTACGAGTTACCGCTTACCGATAATACAGGAAATCATCACGGTCGACGAAGTGTTGCGTCAAATAATTCGGATGCATTTCGAATTTAGATAGACCATCGAAGCGCGCAATATGATAAAAATCTAAAATTCGCTCGCTATCCACTGCATGGGGAGCCTTGACAAAGTATCGATGTTCTGCAATTTCATTTTTCATCAATCTATGCATATCAAAACAACGTGAAACGTAATGACGTTAATAAATTACCACCTTTGCATTGATCTGCTCGGCCTCTTGCATAGCAATCTACAACTGTATCGTTATTTATGTCATTTCGCGATTCCACGAGATTATCGGGTCTATTTGCATAATTTTCATACAGCTCAATGGGACTCGTGTAATCGTAATCGTCGTACATGGTGATTCTTTGCGTTAAGCCGTCCGGCTGAAGATACGGCGCATAGCGTTCAACTTTCGTCTTCTTATAAAATATCGTTTTTGTACCATTTGGGAACCGTCTCTCGAATTCTAACGAGACGATCGAGCCAATGTATCAACACACTTACATTTCAAAGCGTCAGTTAATGTTCTGTGTATACCTGCTTCGCTGATATTTATTTGATCTACGTATGAAACTGGCATGTCCAGGTGTTTCTCGTGTTCCACGCCGGACTCCTCGTCGAGCTCTTCCGCTCCGCGCATCGTCCACGGTTCACCAGGTAGCAAGTGTTCCCATAGCTCCACTTTCATTAAATCCCACGCTATATTCGCGCACGATCCTGCCGACGGCTGCATGTTTACCCAATAATTCTTGTCATTCCATATACTTTCCACGCCAAAGTACAACTGGGCTGTGTCGTCGTCTGCGGCTCCGTAAGACACGCCAGTGGTAGGCTCGATGAAAAGTGGACAAGGAATCTCCTGGTCCCTTGGTCCTTCTAGCTCTGGCAATATCGTTACCCAGGCGTGTATTCTGTGTCCCCAATACTCGTCTGGTGGAAGCTGCTCCAATTCCTAAATCCAAATGTAATTCTTTCTCACAATCAAAGAACTAAAAAAAAAAAAAAAAAAAAAAAAAAAAAAAAAAGAAAAAAAGGAAAAAGTCTCGCAATCCGAAAGGAAAGTAGGAAATGGATTGTTATACCTCGATCAATTTTTGTTGTTCCCTTTCGTTCGAGAGTAGTTTCTCCTCCAATTTCCTCGCCTCTTCTTCTTCCAATTTTAACAAAAATTGACTCTTGTACTCGGTCGGCAGCTTAAGCTTGTACTTGGTGATTTCAGGTTGTCCCGCTTTCGACTCTCGTTCCACTTGCTTGTCCGGTTGCGGTACATAGGGGCACGATCTTCGCGTTAAATCGCACAACGTTTGTTCTCTGGATGCGTAACCGCTTATTACGAACGCGTTGTATCCTTGGCCTAGTAACAAGCTGGCGAGAAATGTCGCGCACTCGAAGCAGTTGCCCTTCCGAAATTTTTGTACCCATGTCGGTGATCGTAGCTGTTTCGGCTGGAAATAGAAATAATATCGTAAATGTCATGATGTCACAAGAGGAGGGAGGAGGGGAAGCATTTGTAATTCAATAAGCAAAAACACTTGTTGCTTTCAACTTTAAACCAACTTTCTCGTAATGAGATAATATAGCGAGTTACGTTACAACGGTCAATGACAGAATTTGTTGACTACCTGTTGTATTGCTGAATTTGTCTGAATTTACTTTACCGACTGCCGGTACATTACGCCGTAACGCCACTTACCGTTAGCTTCACGTGGAAACGCAGAAGTAATAATAATAACAATACTAAAGAGTAAATACATCCCACACACAGCTACTAATCGTCTCCACACAAGAAGAGTAGGCGCATTCAAATACGGTGCCGAGCACGTGGCAACTCGTGCGTATTCTCGGTCCCTGACCTACGCGACTGTATTATGATCTATGTGTAGAATGGTATATTGTACCGTATAACGGAAGCGACCACCGTTCATAAAATGAAGAGAGAGATAGAGAGAGAGGGGGATAGAGAGAAAGATGGAAATTAAAGGAAAAACAGAAAAGGCCAACTACATTATTACGGAATACAAATGATACAATTTTTTTTCCCCAGATTACTGTTTGATTTGCGATGTGAATTGCAAACATCTGTCACGATTCACCCCGTGAAATAAACGACAAAGCGAAAAAAAAAAAAAAAAAAATAAAAGATTCTCAACGCGATTGTCGGATGCAATCGTTCGTGCGATTTGCACGAAATTTACGAAGGTTCCATCGTTGATTCCGAAATCGAAGTCGAAGGGGCGCCTCGCCCTTTCCCGTGTCTTGGAAGCAAGAGAGAAGGCAGTCTTTTTTGCGAGCGCATAGCCTGGGCCAGGGGTAGGGCAGAGAGATGGTCAGTGGGTGGTGCGGCTATCCCTCGATCCCTTCACCCACTTCCGCCCCCTCTGTCCACCCGACCTAACCTCACCCTATCTATCCCTGCCTCTCTGCCACCATCCCTCGAACGCGCCCTCGGTCCCGCTTCCTCGCCCATTGGCGTTGCCCGCCCGCCCGCCCCCTCCGGCCGTCCCTCGCTTGCCCCCGCGCGTCACCATCATTCCGCGCGACCCCTTCGACCGGCACCCACGTGGGACGCAAGACGAGGGTGTGAGGTAGCAGACAACGCGGAGATACCGCCGCCGCGCCGCGGCAGCTGCGCCCAGTGTCTCTCAACCACGAACTTACGTCGCCCGACGATAATTTACAGCCTGGTCGAACTGGTTCGTCTCTCGCTTAAATATCCCTCATGCTCATGTTCGTACATCACGTGAATTATTTCGCGTGGTATATCGTCCTCGTAGAATCTCCTCGCGATTTTCAGGCATTTTCTTCTTACCAATTACAACAAGTTTTCTCGAGCTCGATAACTCGCTCGTAGACGTTTCAACACCTTCGTACACACTTGATTGTTCAAAAATATTAATATAAATAAATAAAGGAAAATGTTTATTAAACGTTAAAACCGTATTCTACGTGTAAATCGTGCAATTATGTTATCTCTGTCCGAGAAATGTAACAGAAATTAATATTAATTCTGACGAGGTATGTAACGTTTTATGCAGTCGTGGAAAACGATAGTCTGAAATCGGTCATACTTACAAGTTCGATTGTTGTAGTAATTAAAAAAAATATTCCACGTGCAAATCGTTATAATTCGAACGATAATTCAAATAAACAGATTTATATAATTAGCCCAAATAGAAATTCATTCGTGAATACACTGACTAATACATTAGTACATTAATCAAATTACAATTGTAATTAAAATTATTTAAAAAAAACTTGCACAACGACAGTTTTAATAAATAATAGTTAAAGCGAAAGTCTCACGAAATTAATTGAAAGATCGTGCATTGTTTAATTAGAAAAACTGGAAAAAGATAAGTTTTTACGTTTTGATCCCGTTTTTTCTTTACAAAACACATACACCTACGCATATTTGTTCGGGAAGAATTCTTTAATTGTAAGAGATATGAGGAAATTCCTCGTTCTTATTGTACATGGTAGGATCACGAGCGTTTCGAAAACATTCGCATACAACACAGTTTCTCGAGAGTAAACTTGATTTGCTGCAAAGAAGGCTCGGAAGATTTTTCCGAGCAGCAGAACGATTTAAAGCAGATAGAACGATGTGTCAGCGCCATAATCTTTTTACGATGGTCGCGATTTAGTTGGACTACAACACGATCGATGGAATATAAAACACATCGGTAAAGTTTCAAGGCGTAACTCTTGCGAATTATTAACGATCGATAATTCGATCGGCCCCCGCAACTCGTTAATCAATTTCCGATCAAGCCGGAATTTTGTGTGTTCGTTGCTCAGAGAGGTTAAATT